ACTAATACATACTTTCAACATATTGTACCACAGTAGCCAGAACTATAACTATAATATTATTACTTTCATTAATGTTGTTGTAAGCTACTGTCATTACCTGCATCTCTCTCTCTCTCTCTCTCTCTCTCTCTCTCTCTCTGTCTCATTGTGTCATATGGATTACTGTTAATTTATTATGCTGATCTGTTCTGTACGACATCTATTGCACGTCTGTCCGTCCTGGAAGAGGGATCCCTCCTCAGTTGCTCTTCCTGAGGTTTCTACCGTTTTTTTTTTCCCCGTTAAAGGGGTTTTTTTTGGGGAGTTTTTCCTTATCCGCTGTGAGGGTCTTAAGGACAGAGGGATGTCGTATGCTGTAAAGCCCTGTGAGGCAAATTGTGATTTGTGATATTGGGCTTTATAAATAAAATTGAATTGAATTGAATTGAATTGAATAGCTGCAGCCAATAGATGGCACTAGAGGGTAGAGTCAAGAGTTTAAAACAACAGAGTTACCAATTACCAATTCTCTCCGTTCCGCCTTTTTTTAAAAATATTGTTGCCAGCTCCTACGGTTGTATCTTGTATCTTATGTTGAGCATAAATGAGCCCTAACACATCACCCTATCTCTTTATCCCATCAACATTTGGGACACCCTACCCCTTGACGTGAACACGCAAAATGAAGGAGTAAGGGCTAAGTGATAGGGTTAAGGTGGAATCAGGCCCGTGTCAGCTACCTTCACATAGTGTTAAACTATTCTAAACTGCTTAAATCTTTATTTTTTTAAAGATATTTTTTGGCTATTTTGCCTTTAATGGACAGGACAGCTAAGTGTGAAAGGGGGAGAGAGGGGGGATGACATGCAGCAAAGGGCCACAGGCTGGATTCGAACCTGGGCCGCTGCGGCAACAGCCTTGTATATGGGGCGCCTGCTCTACCACTAAGCCACCGACGCCCCAAACTACTTAAATCTTGTCCGTGACTAATACTATCATATTATAATAAGACAAAACTAAAACTAACACTAATAAAACTTAACATTTTTAAATAATAATAACTCAACTGAACCCACTCTGGAAACTAACTGAACCTAAACTGAACTACAGAAATTATAAACAAAATAAATATAAAAACTAATGAAAAGCACAAAACTAAATAAACATTGGTTTGACAAACTTGTCTTCCTAGAAACTGAAACAAATCGGTTTCATAAAGCATTCTTACATAATGTCAAACGTGCACAGTTTAAATGTTGACTTTAAGCTGAAGTGCAGGCAATGGCACCAATTTTCTTCAGATTTTATTTCCTCTTCACAGATTTACAATGCTTGCTTTCTTTCATCCTCCTCAGTGCCGTCAAGCCCCTCTTCTCTGGGCTAATGGAGACACAATGGACAATAAATGCAGGTTTTTGTATCAGACATGAGCTGGAAAGCTTCTTTGTCACTTGCCAGTCTGTGCAGGACCATAACTTCTCTGGTCTCACCTCATTTGGAGACATTTTGTATCATCAAAATGGAGTTAGTCCACTTTTAAGAAGTATAGGTTAATGTTTTCCTTTAAAAGGTCAGGGACATTTTCACATTTACTGAAGTCACTGTCAGTGTCATCTCTGACTTTTTCCACTCCCAACAGGTCACCTCCCCTATAAGGTTGGTGATGTTGTAATTTAAGGGAGCATCATTAAAAAACAGAGCAGTATAATAAGATAATGATTACACGTAGGAAGTACAGATTTTCCTAAGCTATACTAAGCTTATACTAAACTTAGTATATACTAATATTGCATCTGAGTGATGATTGTAAACAGTAAAAAAAAGGCAAAAAAATAATGCATAGTAAGGCTAAATATCATCAGGTCCAAAATGGAATTTTATTTGTCACACTGATGCGTTTGCTGACTGACGTCACAAAAGTCACATTTCATTGAGGAGAACAGTATTTTTCACAGCAGCCTGACAAACAATAACACAACTATCCTCAACTGTAGCTACAGTGCCTCCCAGTCTACAAAATGACCTCTATGTGACCTCTCTTTGTCACCATGAAGTTGACCTCTCTTTGTTGCAGCTGCTAAAGTGTGCACAGAGCTGTGGCCTCTTAATATGATTGAAAGGTTCAAGTTAAAGTCCAGCCACTGTTCAGCAAGACTTATTAGGTCTTTAGTTAATAAGGCTGAACGAGGGAGTTCATGCTCGACTGTGCAGCTAAATGTTCTTATAAAGATGATTTACAGCATCGAGAGCACATCCAGAATGTAACATTTACTCCAGTACTGTACATAAGTAAAAATTAAAAAAGTATTTCCATTAATTCAACTTTATACTTCTGCTTCACTTCATCTTACTCATTGTACTTTTTGCTCCACTACATTTTGACAGCTTTACTCACTTTTAAGATTACAGATTTTTATACCTTTCCTGTCCAGTGAAAACTTCCAGCGTCCATTCCAGAGTTCATTTTGACTATTTTGGATAAATTGAATAATGTTTCTTTTTGTGTTGAGAAAATTCTCCTCCTTTTTAAGCTTTAAAAACCCTCTTGGATCAGCTGCAAAATGCATCGTCACAAAGCTAAGACAGGGCTGTTTTTCTGACGCCATGACAATTTTTTAGAGATACAGGGTTCTCACAGGACAGTGACACTACAAACATATGATGATCTTATAGAATATGGGTGTTTTTACACTTGGTCCTTTTTAAGTGAACCAAACTCAGTCTTCTTTAAGTGGACCAAAATGTACACTGACAGAAATGGGACTCAGTTCTTTTTGTGTTCATATTGTCAGTTCGTTTGAGAGAGGACTCAGTTCTCCTTCTTTGATGTTTTCCTCTTTCCATATCTGGAGGAGTGCAGTTGTTTCATCGCCAGACAAAAGTACTCCTCGTCCACTGGTTGTGTTGTCGTTGCCTGTAGCCATGGGCGAAGCCTGTCTCAATTGACATTAGGCGAGAGTCAGGGTACACCTTGGACAGGTCGCCAGACTATCACAGGACACAGACAATCATTCACACTCAGATTCGCACCTACAGGCAATTTAGAGTCACCGATAAACCTAACCTGCATGTCTTTGGACTGTGGGAGGAAGCGGGAGTACCTGGAGAAAACTCATACTGACACGGGGAGAACATGCAAACTCCGCACAGAAGATCTTCCCCACCCTGGGTTCGAACCCCCGACCCTGGGTCGAACCTTTGTTTGATTGTTATTTTCAGACATTGTCTTTTCTATGGTCAAGTTATATTTCAATCTCTTCCAAAATAAAGGGGTTAAAGTTAGAGCAAAATTAAACATCTGCGTCACTAAAATGCAACATACACATTAATGCAGCAACAATATTAATCCAAAAACATCAGATATTACAGTAAAACACAGACAGGGAACTGCACATTGAGTACTTTTAATTTGATACTTTAAGTACATTTTACTGATAATACTTAGCATACTTTTACTTAAGTATGGTTTTGAATGCATGACTTTGACTGGTAGTAGAGAGTTTTTGCAGTGTTGTATCAATACTTTTATGTAAGTAAATGATCTGAATACTTATTCTACAACTGTCAAAAACCAAGAGGACGTCTATCACAGATACAGCTGCTTTAATTATTCAATAGACCAATGTAACAGCTGTCAAACAGGATCAACATTAGAAATCATGCTAAATTATATCAACTCAAACATTACAATGTATTTCCATATGAGCAACTTCAGATATTTTAGTGACTTCTCTAAAGCTCTTAGTAAAGACATACAGGTTCATAGCTTTGCCTGTGTGAGAGCTTACAGTACGTATCAAATCATCAAACCAGTCCATCTTACCAATGAGGCTATTGTCCCTTGTCCTGCTCAAACAGGATGGGACACCTGGCCTAAAAAAACATCCAGTCACAAAGCAACAAGTTGAGTGAATCAGCACTTATGGGAAAAAATACAGTATGTGCTTGTGAATACTGTAAGCAGACTAATCTACATTTGCTTTGGAGAGATGTTAGTGTAATAGTCATTTAAAGGATAACCGTAAAAAAGTCAACAAATCTCATTAGAAGAGAAATGTTTTAGTCTGTCCCCAAATCCAGTGGTTCTTACTGAAGACATAAATGTTTAATATACACTTTAATTTTTTAGAAAGGCTCAGTGATTTCCTTAAACACTGGGGCACTGTAGTTTTCAGGAAACGTTAATCAAACATGAGTGAATAGTGCATTTTGGGGGGAACTATTTTCAGCTGCGGATTAACACACATTTGGTGCATTAGTAAATTTTTACTGCATTAGGATGAAGATTCAGTGTTACACTGCACTACAGTGCTTATCTGCATTACAATGAAAAGAAATATTTATGAAGCACAATGAAGCTTTTGGACTGAAAAACTGTGAAATACTTTTATCTGATGAGAGGGACTGGAGAGAGGTCTGAAATGTAGTCACACTAATACTATCTAAAATGTCAGGACAATCAATAATTATAACTCCATTGTATCAGTGGAGGTATTTTCGGGCTTGCGTGAGGACAGCTTTCTCATCTCTCTCACGTCAAGGGACAGGGAGTCTTTAACCAGGATTGAGCAACGTCAGCGTCAATCATTAGTAAGCACAAAGCTGTGGGATGAAGCCAGTGGAAATGTTCCTAAACTCGCACAGGTATTCGTTCAACATCAAATGACCTCTGCGCCATCACTTACTCCGACCCTCCCTAACACACACACACACACACACACACATACACTCAGAAAATGTGTCATGACAAACTAGAATTGATGCATCAAGAGACCAGAAAGCGCAAACAAAGCAATGATTAGTGAATGTTTCAAACGTAACTGAATAACTGAAGACCTTTCTTGGACATCCGTTACTCCCCCTCATGTAATCCGCCAACCTGAACACACACACACACACACACACACACACACACACACACACACATGCCACACTCACACAAAACCTTGGTCATAGAGGAGATACTGTAGATATAAAAGGCTGAGTCCAGGGTTCTACACATGTCTGAATTCACTGCCAACCACAGGCTGTGGGAGCACACAAAGTTTCAGACTAGGAGAAAAGATGGAACACTAGGAGAAAAGAGCAGTGAGAAGATAGTGATAGTAAACAAGAGTGAGTAAGACAGAGGAAGCACAAATCCACCCATTAAAAGGAGGATAAGCAGTGTGACACATTGTTCAGGCTGGAAACAGTACAAACAGTTCACCACCTTGACATCTGAGATAAAGGACTTTTTTGGCTCTCTTTTCATCATATTTTTTAAATTTACTTACTCAAATGCAACGCTGCGGATATGTACACCTCTGGCTGTTGGGGTCAGTGTTGCTAATCTGCCTTGTCTCAGGGGATGAGAGGGGGAACCGGGACGTGGCGCATCAAGAGTTCCATCTGAAGCCACCATCTGAGTCCAAATCGAACTTAAATCAGACCGAACATGGCCATGGCTCCAGCGTCATCACAGGAATACCCGTCGTGACCTTTAAGTGGCACCATGTGGAAACTCCTTATCTCATTGTGTTATGGATATTGGTGGCTGGTTGTGGTAAATTGGGTATGTCAAAAACATTTTTGGAGATAGAATGTGCCAGAAAGGTGTTTTTTTTAAATGATTTTTATGACTATTAATCTTATGAGGTGTGTGTGTGTGTGTGTGTGTGTTTGTGTGTTCTGGTGTCCACCTAACTGAAGTGTAGGCATAACAATCTTGAGCTCAAACTTCACCATCAACCATTATTTGGAAGTTAACGTACTCTGCCTAAGCTTTGTCTGCAAAATAGTAAGAGGTCATGCCAATGCAAAAGACATTAAAGCTGGTTTCACGCTGCCCTGAACACCGTCCACCTGCAAGTGTTCCCTCCTAAAACAAAGCGTTTTTAAAAGTGGCTGTACCCACTGTGGTCCACAGCTGTGATGACTGGCAGGTGCTTCTGTGAACACTACTAATTTGCTAGCGCTGTAACTCGGGGTATTCATTCAGGCGGCAATTGCCAGAGGTTCAACATGGTGAAAATTTGTTCACATGTATGTGGGCAGGAACTGCTTCATACCCCTTCCACTGTGTTCGAAACTGTTTCCCCTCTGCCACCTTACCTTCACTGAGCTGATTGGAGGCGGCGAGTTACTGTGCAGTGTTGTGAAAGCCCCATAAAAGCGACAAAAAAGCCAGATAACCTTAAGTTAAGTTAAGATATTTCACCTTGGTTTCTCCATAACTTTTTAGGGCACACACAACCCACTATTTTCAACGAAATTTGTCCACATGATAGAGCATGATTGAGGTCTTTATTGTTCCATAAATGGTACAAAGTCAAAATGAAGTTTAGGTTTGTATGGCAGATTTCACTGACAGTGCTGGCAATGTAAGTAATGTAACTGTTGTCAGCTTTTGATTCACAAGAAATGTGTGATGTGAAATAATCAAAACTGCTCTAACTCTGGCTTTATCTTATGTTCATCTAGAACCCTAGAAACCCTAAAACCCTTTTCCTAGAAGGGAAAAACTTGTCAGATTGCACCAGAATATGTCTCTAATACTGTAACAAATAGTGTCACTTCCAGCAGCAGTGAACACAAGTCTTTGTCATCAACACAGCATGCTGTTCCAGAGAACAGATGAGTTTCTTCTGTTTTTAGAAATTCCACAGACTCAAGTCAAGAGTTTAACAGGGGTGCTAAACATACAGCCAGAAATGGCCCGCCAAAGGGTCCAATCTGGCCCACTGGATGAGTTTGCACTTCTAATACTGATGCTCTTATGAAGGCTTAGGGGTGAAAGGTTTCAGGAGCAAGTTAAACAGTGAGGTTCATGTAAAATGCTGCTTCAGAGGCTTTTCACCCCCTGACCAGAACATTGTTCTCTGAAAAAAACAATGATTGTGATGATTGATTGATTTTAAAAGATATTGAACATTGTTGTCAATCGGCAGCTTCAGTACAAAATAATCCATATCAGACTTCTGTCTTAAACAATGTTGAAATTGTACTGTTTTCCAAAGACATCTCAGGCAGAATACCAAAAACCTTGTGTGCTGAAAGAAGTGAAAAAAGCTGCAGCATCTTTACGGTTACTGATCTTCTACTTGTTGCTGCTTTGGGTTCCACTCTTATGCACAAATGTAAACACAGCATTGAAATATAACAGACCTTTACCCAAAGTTTTCTTAACTTAATCTTCAACTAGTTTGGAATGGAACATATCAGCTTAGCAAAAGTTTAAAGCCCCGGGGGCGGGGGCTGAAAACAGGAATGGATTTATTCTAATGGTTCAGTAGGTTTGATTATTAAATAAGCTTTAGGGACACTTTGTCAGGTCATTAGATCAAATAACCTTTACCAGAAGTATATCTTTAGTTAAGCAGAGAGATTTATGAACCTTAATATGTGCCACCATGCTGGTTAATCATATGCCCAGAACATAAAGTGTCACTTTCTCAGTCGAGTGCCACAGTTGATCATTTGTGAATTTTGCAACCTCTCAAAGAGCTGTAGTTTATGTTTTGTTATGATGCAATGCCTTTGAAACTTTGTCAGTCATATCTTAAGAAAATTCACCCCTAGTATTGTTAGTTGTTGTGAGGTACCCCACATGACAGATTTCTCTTCTCAGTCATCGAGGCCAACCATCATGTGACCAGCATCATCCCAGAGAGCGCCCTGCTCATCTGCTTTGGCTTCATCCTGGGTGGGATGATTTGGGGTGCGGACAAGGTACAGACCTTCACACTGACCCCAACAGTGTTCTTCTTTTACCTGTTGCCTCAAATCATCCTGGACGCGGGCTACTCTATGCCAAACAAGCTCTTCTTCAGCAACATGGGGGGCATCCTGATCTACGCTGTCATCGGGACTTGCTGGAACGCTGCCAGCTTGGGGCTGTCGCTGTGGGGTTGTCACATGGGAGGAGCCATGGGTAAGACTTTCACTCCAGCAGGCTGTCTGCTACTTGAAGCAAAAGGGGTCAAGATCATTCTGGGATGTTCAGATTAAGGGACCTCAAGAGATTCAAGTCCCGCTGCATGACATGTTTTTCTGTAGTTTATTTTTATAAGGGGTGTAAGATAGGAGAAGTTAGTCAGATTGACAATATAAACTGAATAGGAACAAAATGTCAGCAGTGCCTACAGTTTGAACTGTGTGAGGTGAAAGGTTCAGGTGCACCCTGGTGTTCTAGCTCTAGGTCTAGTTCTAGTTTGGCTTTACATTTGGCCTGCAATTTTTTGTCAAAAATCACAGTTCTTTTCAGTGTCAAATCTAAACAAACAGACATATACAGACAGATACACATATTTTTTAGATTCACTGTGACTTACACTTTAAGGGGATATTATTATCTCCGGTGTCCATCTCAAACAAATGTCCATTAATCAGCTTAGAAATCACAAAAAAGACATTCCCTTGTACTCTAGAACTTGTCTAAGAATCGTCATATTTTTAAGTTTTCTTCATTATCAAAGTAATCCAGTTAAAGTTGTCCGTCCATCCATGGGTATGTTGCAAACTCTACTTGGTCCCTCACAGTGCCATGATTGATTCATAAAGGCCTGTCGCTGGATCTTAATGCAGCTAGTGGATTGTAGAGTGGTTAAGGGCCTTATCTCTTACAGATTCTTTCAACGTCCTTCTCCGCCGTATATTAAATAAAAGCCAAATTTAGTGTATTTCCTGCCTTGTGTGCTGTAGGTGACCTGGACATCGGTCTGCTGCAGTATCTTCTGTTCGGCAGTCTGATTGCTGCTGTGGACCCTGTAGCCGTCATCGCCGTGTTTGAGCAAGTCCACGTCAACGAGGTCCTGTTTATCATGGTGTTTGGAGAGTCGCTGCTTAACGATGGAGTGACGGTGGTTCGTATGCTACATTGTTCTTTATTATGTTACCTCCTGAGAAGCAGAACAGTTTGTGCCTTTGCCAAGACATCCATCACAGGAAGGCACACCTCCAACACATGAAGTGCAAAGAATGCAAACATTGTGCTCTTCAAAGTGAGGACCTTCACCCCGATTGAGTTCTTGTCACCTTGCCTGAACTTTCTCCCTGGCCGGTCAATCAAAAAGGGCTCTTTGAAGAGGCTGATCTGATGAATAAGAATTGCTATGTATTATGAATCATTAAATTCCACTCTATTCATCATCATTTCTGAAACTACAGTGAAGAGTGAAAGGGAATATAAAGGTGTGTGTGTCTAAAATATGTTTATCTGAGGTAAGAAGTGGGCAGTGCAGTAACAGAATCTTGATTCATATTTGATCAGCACTGCCTAGTTTGACAGTTTGACTACAGTTCATGAGCAGTGATCTACAGCTGTGTTAGAGACTCCTCGGCTCTGATTGGTTGTTTTCCTTCAGCTGCGGTGGATTCTAGCAAATGCCATTTGAAGAACTAGAAACATGATTTTATTCCACAGATCATCTGTCTCATGTACTAGCAAATATAACAAAAAGTTATTTTTTATAAAAGTTACCAACTGCAGCTTCAATAGCTGTAGAGAAGCCCAGTATTTATTATAGTTTTTTCTACCCCCAAAAGATGGAAAATTAATTTTCTTCTTCTTCTTCTCTTAGGTGCTCTTCAATGTATTTGATGCATTTGTGTCACTGGGAGGACCCAAAATTAATGCTGTGGAGATCATTAAAGGAATAAGTAAGGAGTGATATTTATTTACACATTAGTATGGAACAATGAAACATGTGCATGTAGTGTAACAGCTTTGGATAAAAGTGTGATAAACAGTAAATAATGCAAATTATGCCAAATAACTTTAAAATAAACTGTTAAACATGTGCCTTCCTCTCTTTCTCTTTGCAGTTTCCTTCTTTGTGGTGGCGTTTGGTGGATCCCTCGTGGGCTTTGTATTTGGCCTGCTGATTTCTCTTGTGACCAGATGCACTAAAAACATCCAGATCATTGAGCCAGGCTTTGTCTTCGTCTTGGGGTACCTTGCCTACCTGACTGCTGAGATGCTCTCCCTGTCTGCCATCCTTTCGTGAGTACATCATGAAAAACACATTGTATTATTTCTGTACATAGAGGTCACATATTCATTTTTTATTTCTGTGTTTTTGTTATATAGCATTGTTTTCTGTGGTATGTGCTGCCAGAAGTACATCAATTCAAACATGGACGAGAGGTCCGTCACCACAGTCAGATATGTCATGAAAGTTTTAGCCAACGGATCAGAAACCATCATCTTTGTGTTCCTCGGCATCTCGGCCATCGATAAGACAATCTGGGTGTGGAACACGGGCTTCATTCTCCTCACACTCCTCTTCATCTTTGTGTACAGATTCATCGGTGAGATTTTTGTCTCCTGCTGTCAGTTTTTAGTACAAACACTATCTGGTGTCAGAGGTCACAAAACAAGACTGTGTTTGTGTGCACGTGTACTGCAGGTGTGTTTTTCCTCACCTGGATCCTGAACAAGTTCAGGCTGGTCCCCATAGAGTTCATAGATCAGGTGATTATGAGCTACGGTGGCTTGCGAGGGGCAGTCGCATACGGCCTAGCTGCGATGCTGGATGGGAGCAAGATAAAGGAGAAGAATCTGATGGTCTGCACAACTCTCATTGTGGTGTACTTCACTGTCATTCTTCAGGTAACCACTTTTCTGTCTTGAATGGAATGTATTGGTACATTTGCTTTTGTTTTTTTAACTTTAGTGTCTTTGACGCATTAACAGACAATTAATATTACAGAACAAAAATAACTTTGTGTTTCTCCCATGCCTCGCAGGGAATAACAATGAAACCTCTGGTCACCTGGCTCAAAGTAAAGAGAGCTGCAGTGTCGGAGCTCACACTCATAGAAAAAGTGCAGAACAAGGTAAAGCTTGAAATTAGCTTACAGCAAGAACCACAAACTACTGAGCTGCAGTCCACCTCTGATAGAATCTCTGTTCTTGTTGTTTAGGTGTTTGATCACATGCTTGTTGCCATAGAAGATATATCGGGACAAATTGGACATAACTACATGAGGGACAAGTACATAAAGACATCTTTACAATTATTTACTGTGAAATTTCTGTTTAAATGAAGCTACAATAATCTCTCTTGCTGTGAAGGTGGAATCACTTTGAGGAGAACTGGATGTCGAGGGTTTTGATGAAGCCATCGGCGAGGAAGAACCGCGACTACGTCTTCAACGTCTTCCATAAGCTGAACCTCAAGGATGCTATGAGCTATGTGGCAGAGGTGAGGCTTGTATGCTTCATGCATTTCAAGTACATTCAAGTGTATTTTGTTGAAGTGGACATTAAAGAAATAGACACAAGATTCGGTTGGTAAAGGAAGTCCTCTGGTCTGATGTTGCAGGGTGAACGCAGAGGCTCTCTGGAGTTCGTCCGCAATGAAACTGCATTTGTGGACTTCAAGAAGAAGTTTGGTGACGAATTCTCAGAAGTTATGCCTGACATCACAGCAGACACGTCAGAGGATCACGGTGGAATGACCCCTATGAGGTGAGCAAATGCTGATTTACACCACAATCACGGGACAGGGAAGTCTGTCAATACAAGACAAACTCTTCAACAATTGTTCAATAAAGAACTTCCTTTCATTATTTCGGTTTCAGTTGTGAATATACAGATAGACATATTTAATTCAAGCTGCCATCTAAAGTTCAAAATTAAGGTTGCTCTACTATTTTGATTGAACGTCTGCTCACGTTATACCTGCTCAGACACTGCCCTCTGGTGACCACACGCATTTATTTTCCACAGACAAACCAAATTAGTGGATATAATCTTTAAATATATCTCCAAATCTCTACCATATTTTTTTATGAGAAGCCTAAATGAGAACTGTACTCTTGAGTGTGATAAAGACATAAAGTTACTGATGTGATTTTTTTTTTCGTGCTGTAGAAGAGACCCTGTGCCATCAGTGAGCCTGGAACTGCACGAGCAGAACATGAATGGTTTGAGGGAAACAGAGGACGTTAACACTCATCACCTGCTGCAGCAGCATCTGTACAAGGGCAGGAAACAGGTGAGCATCTTCAGTCACATCACTGCCGACACTACATTCGTAACATTATATTTTCATGTAGTTAAATTAATTATAAGAGAGAGATTTAAAACAAAAATGAATGGTCAAATTTGATGCAGCAAAGCCAAAATATCTAGATTTCTAGTCCCCACTATGCCTTAGTGCTGTATTCTACATTTCCCAGAATGCAACATTCATTTCAAACATCACACCCTCAGTGTTCAGTTCACCTATAATCAGTGTTATTTTTTCAAACTTTAAAAGCTACAGAAAACATTATACAACTGTTTTAACACATCTAAACTGAAGGTCATATGTAAAATTGGTGGAATATCCCTTTAAAAACAATGTCTAAAGCCAAAGATGAACTTTCTGGATGAATACGAGTTACAGACTGTCTTCTTGTCCTCTTTGTCCTTCCAAAAATCTGCTCTCAAATGTTCATACACAGTTTTAATTTTTGTTGCATTTTCTGGCGTGCAGCACCGACACAGATACAGCCGGAGCCATTTTGATGTCAACAAGGATGAAAATGAGGTGCAGGAGATCTTCCAGAGGACCATGAGGAGTCGTTTGGAGTCTTTTAAGTCTACAAAGATGGGCGTTGCTCCACCAAAGACGATAACCAAGCACTCAAAGAAAGACCAGCAGCAAAAGGTTTCATTTTTAATTGACAATCTGCAGTATAATATACATAGGATTATATAAAATTGAATTGGGTATTGATCCAAATCAACCAAAATGTGTTCATAACACTAATTATATAACCTCTCGTAAACTTATTTTTTGATCAGATAGTGCTTGATTGAAATCATCTTTTTGCAGACTCTATATCATATAATTAAGACAGTTCTTGTGCATCTGATTGTGTTTAAATAATTGTCAACAATACCTAGCCCTACCAGTTAAAACATCTGTATTTGCTTTTCACATTGTGTAACTTTGTTTAAGATGTCATATACTAATAAACCGAGTATTCTACCACCTGCAGATGCCAAATGGAAAATCAACAGACAAAAGTAAAAGCTACTATTCTGGTGATGAAGGTTTGTATCTGTGTTTGAATTTTAAACCCTATACATGATCTTAAATTGTCCAAGTGCTTAATGAAAACCTCTTTCTGAAAAACTGCTTTTTTTTTTTTTTTTTTTTCCCTAGATTTTGAGTTCTCAGAGGGAGACACCGCCTCGGGCTATGAGGCGTCAGGCAGTTCGTTCCCCATGAGGGTCACCTACAGAGCAGGAGGTAAAATAAATCCACTGTTTTGTCCAACTTTTTTGTGCCGAAAGAAGTACTCAGATTCTTTACTCCAGTAAAAGTACCAATAGAACATTCTGAAAATACGTTGCGAGTAAAGTCCTTCATTCAAACGCCTACTTAAAAGAAATACATTGTACTTCACCCACAAAATAGTCATTTGTATATCAGTAACTCACTCCATTATGATGAAAACCTCGTGAAGAAAACAGTTTTTCTCACTTCCTTCCAGTGAACGAAGAATCCAAAAAATTTAGTTCAGTTTACAAACTCACAAAACTTGTGCAGTGTAATCCAAGGTATCCAGTTGCATGCAAACATGCATTTTTATTTATTATGTAAAACACTTCGGCACACAAGGAGCGCGCCTTGGTAAGCGCATACGTTTGAACACCATTGATCAGAGTTCAACCACACGTGCTCGCCCAGTTGCGATTCTTATCTGTGCCTCAGACTGTTAATGTAAAACTGTTTTAAATAGTAAGGTTTTAACAAAAGACTTATATTTGGTTAGTCCTGAGTACATGATAATTTTTTTGTAGTTATTCTGTTTAAAAGGATAGTTTGGTATTTTTCAACCTGGACCCTATTTACCCATGTTTTTGTGACTGAGTGACTATTGGGAACAATAATTGCTGAAATAGGTCCAGTATTAAGCCACGAAACAGGCTGCAATCATTTGGGGCATGTTGTGCATCCACTAAAAGTGTTTGTTTTGCCACTGACAGGCTCAGATTGTTTTTATAAGTGTATCAGAGGTAGACCTGTCTGATAAAAAGTCAGATCTGTGTTGAATCATTATAGCCAAACCCACCAGACTCCATTTAAATCTACAGTAATCTTAGCATCTATAGAGTACTTTCCACCAGTGTCTTTAACACTCAAATCACTAATTCAGTTTGTTTCTTTCATCCAGCTGGAATAGAGAATCCAGCCTTCATGCCGGAGCTGGACCCCATGTCACCGATGCAGATTCCCCCGTGGCTGGCAGAGGCAGAGCTCGACAGCAGCACAGTGGCTCCTTCGCAGCGGGCCCAGGTGAGGCTGCCATGGACGCCCAGCAACCTGAGCCGCCTGGCTCCTCTTCGCATCAGCACTCGCTCCACCGACTCCTTCGCACAGGCCGACACTCCTGCCACACTGCAGGGGGACAACCAGCAGCTGCCTCCACCACCACCACCTCCACCTCCCTCTCACAGAGATGATAGCCTCATGTAGCAACATCCCATCCCTCCACCAACTCCCCTCAACCTGCTGCCGAAGACACAGAACTTAACCTCAGACTTTGCACCGTCAACTCTCAAAATATTGACTAGGGAGTGTTTTCTTTTCCACTGCTTAATCTCACTCTTGAGTCTCTAGACAAAACATTCACAGTCCCACAACCTTTGTGCTCTTCAGCTTCTTGTTTCTCTAATGTCACCCTTCACAGAGCAAAGGGAAGCTACACGTAAAGCAACAGATCCTGTGCGCACAGTGGCAGTCGTTCACCAGTTGAATATTTTCTCTACTGGTTCATCGTTAACCAGATGCCTGTCAGTCCCTGTGGAGTATCTTATCCCTGAATGTGATGAAGAAACCTTTTAAGAATGCTGATATTTATGAATTGTGTTGTTTATAAAGACAATAATTTAATTAGAGTGATATGAGAATAATTCCACCTCTGTAATCTGAATATAACATTGTGTTGTGTTTTCTCGCTTGTGTCACAACAGGACTTGAGGCTGAATATTGAACATGAAGGATGTGACCATTGTGAAATGTCAGATGTATGATAAAGACGTGTTATATTTATTGATAAATGAAGTCTGTGTGGACATTCCCACCTTCTCAAATCTGTGCACAAACAGTTAAATATATTTTATGTTCCTCCAACAAAAAACACTTTGACTGACCTGGTTTGAAATGTATGAATTTAAAATATGGATTTAGAAATAAAAAACAATGATGAAAAACTTATTATGGTAGTCAGTTACACTGTGTATTAAGTGAAATGATTAGTCACTCAGATTGCAAGAATATCAATCCTCAGGTACTTTGATAACTGATTGATCGTTGATTTTGATAACTGATTCTCTTGTTTTTAGATTATTATAAATACTGGAGATACAAATTTGCCTTTTAGCTAAATCTGGCACATTTTATTAATTAAATTATAGTAAGTATAGTAATATAAATAATTGTTAATGGGTGGTTCACTTAACACATTAAAGTAAGGTCATTAAATAAGTTTTACAAAACTAACTATACTAAAACTAAACTAACATATTAAATAATTAAACATAACCATCAGTTTAATGAAAAATAATTATAATTAAAAATAAAATTTAATAATTTATTGAGAAAAAACATATGGGCTGCTTCTCACTTTTTTATATTATTATATATTATTACTGCAGATGTAAATGAGCCTTTTGGCTAAATCTGGCAATTGATTAATTATAATAATAAATTGTTAATTAATGTGTAATATACCCAGCGCTTAAAGTAGTAAGTAATTTAAAAAATTTAAATTTTAAATAAAATAAAAAAATGTCCTCTTTAGCAATTCAGTCATTTTTCACTGTTATGACTATTTTCTGTTTGTAAACTAACATTTTAATTGATTAAAAATAACCATCAGATTAATAGATAATAAAAAATAATTGGGTGCACTGATAGATCGACAATGAAACACAATGTCACATTTCTGAGATGTATCCAGAATTAATTTCCAACACAATGAATTAGTAAAAAAAAAAAAAGCATTTAAGTCATATGAAACAATATTCACTGATTTCACTATAAATAGTCCATTTCTGCTGTTTCCACCTGCTTCGTGATGTAGTCTAATATAATCTTTTCATTTTCAGAATCCTTCAGGTAAAAGTGAGATCCATTGAGCATTCTGATGGTGAAATCTCCCGATGTGATGCTTTTCCAAGCTGTTGATAAAATACATGAATATACTTAATTACATATGAACATAGAGACAACTCACACTGAGTCATTAAACTTGACATGCACCCCCCCAAACACTGTTACAAAACAAGTACATCCCCCATGACAACAACTCTTCCCGATGGCAGTGGCCCCTCAGCGGGACAATGTGTCATGCCCAACTGCAAAAACTGCTCAGGAATGAGTTGAGGAACTTGACCGTGAGCGTTAAAGGAGTCAACCTGGCCTCCAAATTTCCCAGGTCCCAATCTGATCAAGCATCCACGGGATGTGCTGGTTCCCCACCTCACAACCCACAGGACTCAAAGGATCTGCCGCCAATGCCCTGGTGCCAGACACCGCAGGACACACCCTGAGGTCCAAGGAGGCCCTACCATGTATCGGATTTGGCTATGACCTGGCGAGGCATGGACACAGGACCTCTAGGGTATCGGCACGTCCCATGGATGCTCGGGCCAAGTCGACACCTTGAGCTCTTTCTCGCGTTCCTCAAGGCATTCCTGAACGGTTATTGAGATGTGGCATGGCGTCCTGCGGTGTCCTGCTAGGGGGACCCTACCTTCAGGGAGTGTGGTTGCCATGAGAAGGTGTTATGCTTATTCAGAATGCTGCTGCTAGGCTCCTGACAAAAACTAGGAAATATGACCTCCTTACTCCACCTCTAAAATCCTTACACTGACGACCTGAATTCAAAATCTTGCTGCTTGTGTATAAATCACTCTGTGGCTCAGCACCCAAATATATTTCTGACATGCTAGTGACATACAACTTCTAGGACCCTGAGGACATCTGGGGCCGGCCTACGGACTGTCCCAAGAGTCAGAACAAAACATGGTGAAACAGCGTTTTGTTATCATGCAGCACAAGCCTGGAATAACCTCCCAGATGATGTTAGACAAGCCCCGACTCTGATCACTTTTAAGTCAAAGCTAGAAACATTCCTTTTTTACACTGCCTACTCCACCCTGTAATGACTGTTACCATATTTGTAAACTTAATTTAAAATTATTTTTAATAATCTTTTTATCTTTGCATCTCTTGTCTGCACTTTTGCTATTTTTAATGGTGATGTTTTTATTGTAAATTATTTAGTTATTAATTTTACCATCCAGAAGGCTACATGATCCCTGTCTATAACAGGGTAGAGTGTAAGTGCAGGACATGAGAGGACTGACCTTGTAAATCATGAGGAATGTCATCCTTTCCATCGAAACACGTGACTGGGCAGGAGAGGAACGGCTTGTCTGGCTTGTCGCACCTGCAGCAAAGTCAGCAGTCACTACAAACATTCATACTGAATCACAAATGATTTAAAATTAAAGGATAAATACAGATTCAGTTCGGTAACAAAGTCGTCAGACGCACTTGTAGTTCTCCACAACGTGTAGGTCGGCCTTCAGGGCAGGAAGGAAGAGCTTCAGGACCTCAGGGTTCGCCAGCAGCTCAGGAGGAGTTCCTCCAATCGAAATCATCCACTTGAGAAAATCGTCATCAGATAACTCGCTTCTCTTTGGGGCTTTGATGCGTGTCTCAGACTAAAAGACATAAGACAGCATATGAATGGTATATGATCAACACCAAGTCTAAACTGTAAGTGTTCAGTAGCTACTTTGTCCAGATGTTTTGGTCTGTAGACCTTTATCAGGTAAGAATTTCATCATCATATGATATTACAAAGATTCTTCAGACAACGATACGATATTTACTGACATCACAAAGTCTGCCATGATATGATTTTGATTTGATTCAATTCAGGGGCCTGCGATTTCAAACTTATCTACAAGCTTTCACATTAAATCCATTTAATCAACAGAGCTTGCAGAGACTCAAAGCCTCCTTAGATAAATATACTGACACTGGTTGATAACTGTGTGGATAATCCTGGCCGAGAACAGTTAAATGTAATAAATAAACTTACAAAAGGGGCAGAGGCACCAGACAGGAAGATGTGAATTGGTTCAAGGTTGTGAAGTCTCTTCAGGGCATCTGCCACAGCGAAACTGGTGAAGGCACCAAAACTAAAAACAGATCAGAACAGTGCAAACGTTAATAGAAAAGAAGTAGTGGAGTGGTGGAATAAAAAAGGCAAGGCGGGGCTGACTGATAAGATGTTACTTATGAAGCCCTTATTGTTATCAAACCTGTGGCCAAACAGAGCGAACGGCTTCTCTTTCAGCAGTGGTAACAGCACACCGATAACCTCATCCACTATCTGCTGCATGTTCTCAAAGAAGGGCTCTTTGGCTCGACTCTCTCTGCCTGGAAGTTTGACAGCAAACACTGAAAGTGACAGAAAAGGTGTTAAAATGTTTCAAGTAAGAATATAATCATACTGTAACATGTCAAGACTTTGTTTTTACAGACATAATTCTTCAAATTCAAATTCCCATAGTTCATTTTTCAGCTTTAAATGAAGGATTACATTATCAATATAGTATACAGTATAGATTAACAGTGCAAAGTGCAGCATGTTACCTTCTATGGAGCTGTTGAGGACGTTTCCCCAGCGTGCATAGTGTATGGAGCCTCCACCTGCCCAGGGGAAGCATATCAGCCTGGCCACAGCCTCTGGGCTCCTCTTGAAACAGTTGATCACCTTTTCCATTTCAACTCAACACAAGAGCTAAGATCCAAGACTGGTTCACATCTGCGGGGAGCAAAGGTGATTCAAGCATTTGAGAATGACTGTAAACATGTCAAGTCACACCTGTTTGTTGCTGGCTGCTCCATCAGCTTCTCTCAGGAGTACAGTCATTCCTCATGTTGTAGTGCAACATTTCCTGGTTGTTTTCTTCTATGGTTTCTGTATGGAGCTATGGATGTATGGATTCTGGAGACATCTACAGTATGGAGTGTGTATGTCCAGACGAGTTGTCAGTAGGTTTACACCATGTCATTATTGGGTCAAATTATATTTTGTAATTTAAAAAAAAAAAAAAAAAAAGTTTGGATGAGGAGGACAAGATCGAAACCTATACGCCTACACTACCTTAAATACGTGCGTTTCAAAACATGACGTAATATTTGAGAGCAAAAGTTTCTCGGAAGTGACGTTGTTTTCTACAGTTGGTATTTCCTGACGGATTTCCCTCGGTGGAGGAGGAGGTGGGAGAAACAGCTTCGTCAAGCTAGAAACATTTTGACAGGGTAAAACCGGAAGTTCCACAATCTTGCCTGTCAGATGTACATCTTTGAAAATGCAGGTTATTATTATCATTTCAAGGAAGAGTCCTGCATTCAAAACTGTATTCAAGTTAAGGTCCTCAGAGGCAGGAAATCATCACAAATGAGTACTGATGTATCACAACCTCAGTATGAACTGTGCAGAATAGGTCCTTTGACAGAAATATAGCCATTATGAGGGGTGAGAATCACCAAAGCCCTCATTATTTCATATTATCATGATACTTAGTCACAATACTAATATATTAATGCAAAATATTGTGATATATCCATCCAATAATCCAAGAATACATCAGGAAGATGACCTGCTTAGAGAGTGCCTCAGGCAGCAGAACACAGAAGGTGATGAGGAGGAAGAGGAAATATTGTGGAAGACCAAACCCCTCCATGGGATATACCATCAGCAGACAGAGGAAGAGGCTCACATCAAGAAATCCCACCAATGGCGAGAGAAGGCCAGCCTGAAGGACAGCACTGAGGCCCTGATCTTGGAAGCACAAGAACGGACCCTGAGCCCCAGGTCGATAGAGGCAGTGGCCTACCATAGCAGACAGGACCCCAGGTGCAGGCTGGGCAAAGAGGCCCCCGAGACAGTCCAGTGCATAGTAGCAGGATGTAAGATGTAGGCTGGGACAGTGTACACTAAGAGGCACAACCAAGTGGCTGGGATAGTGTACAGGAACATCTGTGCTGAGTATGGTCTAGAAGTCCCCAAGTCCTGAGGGAGCACACCACCCAAAGTGGTTGAGAACAACAGGGCTAAGATCCTGGTCAAGACTGACAAGCAGCTGCTTGCTAACTAACTGGACATAGTGGTGGTTGACAAGGAGCAGAAGATGGCAGTTGTGGTAGATGTGGCAATCCCAGCTTACAGTAACATCAGGAAAAGGGAGCATGACTGAGAAGTACCAGGGGCTGCAGGAACAACTGGAGCAGATGTGGAAGGTGAGGTCCAGAGTTTTCTCAGTGGTAATTGGAGCATTAGGAGCTGTGACCCACAAACTGGAAGAGTGGCTCCAGCAGATTCCAGGTACAACATCTGTGTTCTCTGTCCAGTCAAGTGCAGTCCTAGGAACAGCTAAGATACTGCGCAGAACCCTCAAACTCCCAGGCCTCTAGTAGAGGACCCAAGCTTGAGGACAACACATACCAGGGTGGCTGTGGCTCAGACTCTGACTCTATTCAAAGCGCCCTTAAGTACAGTATATGAGTGCAAGTACTTTCCACCACTGATAATTCGTACACGTAATTCGTTTTTTTTTAGCTGTGCTTTTATTTTGAAGGAGTATCCAGGAAGTTTTGTTTTTCTGTTCTCGCGATCTTTACATTACAGAGCGAGAGGGCGGTGTAAGTGCAGATTTCAGACCGGTTAGTTTCTCGCAGAAACCGAGTAGGACGCCGGGGTAGTCAGCCCCTTATATCTGTTTGATAAAGAAAAGGAACACCGGATTGTCACGGTAACCAACCGGGACGACAAATTCAGCCACTGAACCGGTAAATATCCATGTCATTCTTGTGTGTCGAGTTGCCAGTCAGTTGCTAGTTGTCGTCGGCTAAAGCTAACTATCGCTGTTAGCTTTACCACCGCCGTCAGTGAAATTTACTCAACTCCGTGTTTAAACTGTCACAAACATTTCCCACACTTAACATAATGTCGTTTTTTTTCCAGATACAACAGGAAAGACTTAAAAGGACGACGGTTGGGACATTTTGTATAACTTTGAGCTGTCAGTTGTGGTGAGGCAGGTCGGGGGAGAAGACTTCAGCCGAGGGGACCCCCGAGCGGCCCGGTTTCATATCAGCGACCGAAGCCGGGGAGCAGGGAGCCGCGCAGCCGGGGAGCGGTGTGTTGGCCAGCGGATTCATACTCAAGTTTTTACGAAGAGAATTGATCACTGAGTGCCGGGTCATCCGGACAGAGACCTCATGAATGGAAATCGGAACAACAGGTGGGATCCCCCGACTAACCGCCATGCTTAATTTGGTGTTCAGGTGCGGCACTGGAGTTATTTGCAGACTGTGCAGTGCGAGACACAAGTTAGACCCCCATAGTTGAGCACTGGGGAACTGCAAGTTGATCTATGTGGTAAAATAAGTTGTCTGGCTATCGTGGACACTGGTGTAAAGCAGCTCAGCCTAGAAACTCAACTCAAATTCCCATCTCCGGCTCCAACAGACACTATGTACTGGGCTGATTGTTCCTCAGTGGTGTTTTACCGGTCATCTTTGCGCCTCGGTGTGTTTGTGTCTGTGTGTGCGTGCCCCAAACCAGTCTCACTGGTTACTTGCATTGTCTACGTCATTCTATGCCGGCTGTCAAAGGCAGGTGGTGATCCCGTCAGGTGTGCGTGAAGCCTGAGGGGCTGTCTCACTTTCAGAGAGGCGTGTGTGTGTGTGTGTGTGTGCTCATGACTGCTTGAGGGGCAGCATTTCACACCAGCTGCTGCCATAGTTACTCTAGTTATTGAATGAAGTTCAGTTAACCGCTGCCTGTGTTAATTAAAAATCAATTGAGCATGGCAGGACATTAGTCAATTTACTTTTGTTGCCACGGGCCACAATTTGTGAGTCACAGCTTGTATATTATTGATGCTTTTGGGGGTAGTGATGAACTGGGAGGGAAAAAAGGAACCAAACTGGTCCACTGAAACTGACCCATTCATTCTCCATCCACTCCACCCATTTTCACCTAAGGGACAAAACAGTATCAAATTTAGAAATCCTAAAGCAGTGTTAGACTTTGATTAATAGACTCATGTATATTTAATTCAGGTATTCTGGAAAAAAAGGCTGCAATTAACACACATTTTCAATATTATTTAAGTTGTTAGTTATGTTTTTAATTACTTACTTAATGGCTAAGTAAATAAAATGTCCAAAACTAGTAAAACTTTACATTATAATTTCCTAGTGGCCAAAGGGCTGTCTTTAAATAGCCTGTTGTTGTTTTTTTCTGACCAACTGACCAAAAACCCCCAAATATTCAACTGATATTGATATAAAACAGCAGATCCTCACATTTGAGAAGCTGGAGCCAATAAATATTTGGTCTTTGTTGAGCTGGATTATTAAAATTGTTGATTATTTTTTTGTCAATTGACTAATTAATAATCGATCACGTGTTTCTGCTCCAAACTTTGAACGTAACTTGTCATATTCTCCTGATTTCCTCACTGACTCATATGCGTTCAACGCTTTATGTGGAGCTTTTTCTCTTCTTTAAGGCAGCGTCATGTTGACTTACACCAACCTTGCAAGACAACTTTTTTATGCTGCCTTAATAGGCCAGTCTTCCCTCTGAGGCTGAAATTCTGCATAATACGACACTGTGTCAGCTGATAAGATAAGATAAGACTAAGATAAGATGTTGGGGCAATCTTCCTTTTTAATGAATTGAGAGTGTGAGGTGCAAAAAGCAACATGTTCACAGAGGTTTTTCTCAAAAGTACCACACAGATCGACCTCTTTGTCTTAAAATTCATCTTGCAAACATCCCTCACCCATGTTTTATGTTCTCATACTCAGAGGTAATTCTTTTATCATTGGTTTGTCACGTTTTTTTGTTTGAATTTACCTTTTGAAAGTTGTAATTTTATGCATAATCTACCGTCTCCCTCTGTATAAAAAAAAAAAAAAAAAAAAAAATGCCATTTAATGTCATGAATATTCACGTTTAGGTTTCCTGCCAGATCGAAACAATTTTTGGCACATTCTTTTCACAACTTTGCATAAAGTTAATTGTCTGTCTAGCTAAAGGCAAATATTTCTACTAACATGTCAATTATTTTTTGTCCCACCAAAAACTGTTCCAAATACATATCATTTGTTTTCACAGAGCTCACAGTAACATAACAAATTGACGATCAACCCAAAACCCAAACATATATTAATTTTATAATGATCTAAAATAGAGAAAATCTGTAAATCCTCTCAACTGATAATGTTTTGGCATTTTTGGTCTTGAGTAGCTTAGGTAACATCTTGCAGGTTTAGAGAGCATTTGTCCGCTCATCACTTGTGTTAAATACTTGAAGTCTGCCAGTTAGAGGATGTTAAAACAGCATTTATTAAAAAAAAATTACACATTTTTAGTCCTCTGCATTACAGTAGTGATGGCAGGACTGTACAATATTACATCACTGAAGTGCTCTCTTAAAGTGTGTGGGTTGAATGTCAGCTCTGTGTGGGCTGCTACTGGTTGTGCGTTGCATTTGTATGATGAAGCAGCCTGATAAGCAGTCATTAGTCTCTCCATTGTTGCTCATTCTACAGTGAACCTTTGTGTTTTGGGGGTCATTTCTGGTGCAGACGCTGCTTATCTGGCTTGTGCGTAGTTGAGGATGTTTTCCATAGTTCCCCAAAGAAATGTAAGATTGGATTCATCTTGTTGCCAATTTTTGATTTACTTTTCGTTAGTTTTTGCATAAAAGTAAAAAAGAAAAGAAAAGGCACTCGTATGCAGACCACTTTCAACCTCACAGTGTCTTCATCAGGGTGGAAATAGTACAAAAAGATTGAGTACATCTGGTGCTGAAAATAGATGATACAATGAAATTAATCAGTATTGTATCATAATAAGGTAATCAATGATTATAGAAAACACCTAGCACAATTACATCAAAATAATCAACTAATCTGACTATAAAATTTAAGTAAAATGTAGTCAAGAAATGTTTATTTCAATAGTTTTTGTCACCAGAGCTCCACAATGAATGAGACAAATGTATGTGCACCTGTTTTTCCTTCTCATGTCAGCATGCCTTTAGTTGCCATGGAGAAACT